CTCTGCTCTTTGTTTACCCGTTGTCATGGTCAACCCTGTATCAGAGCTCCATTGATGATTTCTTTCTTCCTCGACTCACAGTTTAGTCTGTTAAACCTGCTTCCTGCAATAGGAGCAAATATCCACTGAAAGCAGCAGAAAGACGTGCTGAGTGTGAAGCTGTCAGCAGGGGGAATAACACAGGGCTGTGAATGAGTCCTGTCACTGTGATCAGGCTCCTCCTTCTAATCCACCAACTTAGTGTTGATGAAGACTAAACAGAGAGATCACAGCTTCTTTATACTTGCTGTAGCTCACAGTTACTCTACACTGCAGATATGACGCCTCTGTTCATCTCAGTGCTGCTGGCTGCTATGTGCCTCGGTATGAACACAACTCTGTTTCTTTGATATCAACATTGACGTGATTCTTTAACAGCACACTGATACTGTTTGTTGGTGTTTTACAGAATGCAGAGCACAAAAAGACAACGTGCTGCAAGCAAAAGGAGAAGAGACTGCTGCTGCAGGAGGCACAGTGACACTTGACTGTCTCTATAACAGCAGTGGAACAAATAATTATCTCTTCTGGTACAAACAGGATGGAAACAACAGCCCCAAATTCATCCTGAGTCGTGTTAGCAGGGATGATGGAAACACAGCAGACGAGTTCAAGGAGAGATTTTCATCCACACTGGATTCCAGCATCAGATCAGCTCCTCTGAAGATCCAGAAGCTTCAGCTGTCTGACTCTGCTGTGTACTACTGTGCTCTGCAGCCCACAGTGACAGGAAACAGCAAAACTCTGCACAAAAACCTTTGGAGCAAAGACAACGGAATACTCCACAACATCCACTAGAGGGAGCCACACACTGTTAAACCACTTTTTACTTTTTCAGTTCTGTATATTTTTCTCTTCCACTGACTTCACTATTTTGTGGGACCTGTCCACAAAAGTCAAGTTCAACCAATGAGATGATTTCTGTCTGGAGAGCAAAAAGTTTCAAGATATAAAAGCACTACCTGGTGAATCTGCTGCAGTGGAAGAACGTTGTTCATGTGCTGTCTGTCTGTCTTCAGCAGCTCCAAAGACATGTTGCTGCACCTCTTTTTGTTTTCATCTCACTTCATAGGTGAACTTTTGACTCTTTCTCAGAACGCAACATTTCTTTCTCTGCTCTGAACTCTGTGCTAGAAATGAATCATTGGTCTGGAGGATTTTAGATTTTTACTTCTGTCCTACTTTTCCTCATTTCCACTGTCTTCTCCTCTCAGTTAGTCTGATGGCTTCATTTCTTCTACTTTTTCCAGGACTAACAGCTGGAGACTCAATCACTCCTCAACGAGATAAAGTCACTGCAACAGAAGGAGAATCTGTCACACTCACATGTAACTATCAGACAGGTTATAGTAATGCTTGGCTTCACTGGTACAAACATCATTCTGACCTTCAGGCTCCTCAGTTTATACTCTGGAAACAAGGAAAAGGAGGCAGTGGTGAATATATTCCTGATAAACGTTATAAATCAGAAACATCTTCTACATCAACTACTCTGACCATAGCAGCCCTAACCCTGGCAGACACAGCTCTCTACTACTGTGCTCTACAAACACAGTGATACAAAGTGTAGAAGAGGCTGTACAAAAACCTGAACACAGATATCTGACTACTCTTCAAAGAGGAGGGAAGTGGTATTCAAAGCACAGCTTCATATCAGATGGATTCTGCTAATTCCTGTTTTATCAGAGTCACTGTGGTTACAGCTGCTAATGAAACACTGTGGGAGGATTCACATGAGCAGCAAATCCACATCAACCACAAACCAACTGCAGGAACGTTCAGACACAAAGAAATAATAAAAACCATAATAACAATTCAGTTAAATTCAGTTTTATTTACACAGCACCAAATCACAGCAACAGTTTCCTCAAGGTGCTTTGCTGACAGTAGGAAATAAAATCTCTCTGATTTAAAGAAATGAGAATTGATTAAAAAACTGAGGGTTTTACATCCAGGAATTAAGGTTTATTCTCACTCATAGAATCAACGTTTCATTCATAATCATAAGTTTTGTCAAATATTAAATAAAAAAGTAAAGCAATAAAAACACAATAATTCCAGGTTTCACTCAATCTAAACCAAAAATATACACAGCTACCTCTCTAACCCCAAAGTTATTGGGATCTGCACCAGACTGTTTGACAGTTGGAATAACAGAAGCCTTTTTCACATATGAAGGAACGATTCCCGTATTCAGGGAGGAATGGAAAATACTTTTTATGAGAGGAGTTAACGAGGGAAGACAGTGGGGAGAGGGTCAAGGTGACAGGTGGATGATTTAGATTTCATAATAAGATTAGATACGTCACACAGGTAGATACCTGATCCACACAGGTATGCACACAGGTGCACACATGGGTATTCACAGACGCGGACTACAGCTTTCTTGGCTGCTGCCTCAAAGCACACTGTGCGCTGTCTATCTTGCGTGCTGCACAATATCGTTTATTATTTAGTATCTACTGATATCTAGTTTATTGTGATGGTGCTGTTTTTTTTTTTTATTATGTTGCTCTTTGTTGTTTGCTTTCTCTTCTGTTTTTTTTCTCCATACAGGTGACCCAGGTGTTTTGTTTTTTTGTTTTTTTTTTCTTTCTTCCCCCCCTTCTCACCGTCTCTTCTCCCCTTTGGTTTTCTTTCTTTCTCTCCCTCTCTTTCTTTCATTCTCTCTCCCTGTCCTATCCCCCAGTCATGTCTGTCCCGTTTGTAGCAACTGAAAATAAAATAAATTCATAATTATAATAAAGGTCAATCAAATGGACCAATATGGCAAGGCCATGATGATCCACTTGGTAAAATAAATCCGCTTGGCATCTTTCTTGGCCTTAAGACAACAATTCTGATGCTAAAGATCCAAACGGGACACAAAAAAAACAAAACAAAAGATTAGATACGTCAGTTATGGAGGGAAGAGTAAAGCAAACATTTTGAGTGGCAGTTATTGCACGGAGTAAGGTTTTTATTCATTTAAATACTGATAAGAGTGAAGTGACCAGTGCAGAGTGTACCTGTGAAACTGTAGGACAGCTTCTGAGTGCGTCCTGTGGAGTGTGTGTTGTGGTTGAGGTGTCGTATGGCTTGATGGTAGAAACTGTTTTTGAGTCTTGTAGTCGGAGCAGACAGAACCTGTAATGTCTGCCAGGTGGTAACAAGGAGAAGAGCTGATGTGCTGGGTGGCTGTGGTCCTTGATGATGCTGTGTGCTTTACGGAGGCATCGCTGGAGATAAATGTCCTGAATGGCAGGAAGCCTCGTGCCAGTGATGTGCTCTGCTGCCTTCACCACCCTCTGTAATGATTCACGGCTGCTGGCAGAGCAGCTTCGTACCAAACTGTGATGCAGCTCGTCAGCAAGCTCTCGATCGCACACCTGTAGAAATGTGAGGTGATGTTGGCGTTCATGCCAAACTTCCTCAGCCTCCTCAGGAAGTAAAGCCGCTGGCGAGCTTTCCTGAAAGCAGTGTCTGTGTGAGGGTCCAGGAGAAGTCCTCGGTGACTTTGGAATGAGTAGAACATTTTATGTACTATAGAAGCCCAAAACCTTCCAGGCAGGAGGATCTCTGGAAAGAGGGATTTTGTCATTGTCCATATGAATATTGAATCACCAACAATTATCAAATCTGGAGAAAGTTCAGAGAAATGAGTGAGAAGCGCAGAAAAATCATTTAAAAACTCCTTATTTGGCTCAGGTGGCCGATAAACAGTACATACAATGGTGGGGGTAGATCCAGGGAGCTGTAATGCAATGTTTTTAAAAGAATGGGAGGGAGGGGCAGAGACAGGGAGAACTTTCCAGTGCTTCCGGTGAATTATCGCGAGACCCCCACCCCTCCCCGAGCTGTGAGGTCCACAGGTGTAAACAAACTCAGATTGAGTGGAGTCACTAAATGAAACAATCACTGGGCTGATTGTTTCATCAACTTAGGATCGGAGAGGAGATCCTGGACGAGATGCCCCTCACCAGTGACAGAGCGGACGTTTAACAGACCGAAGCTGATGCTGGAGTTACCATGTCTGACAGCAGGCTGAGTTGATCTAGCCAGGTGGGCCAGCACGTTGCGCTCTACAGCCTGGTCAGTGTTGTGGGGAGGACTGACCCGGTCATAAACCATGATGAAATCATATAATAATAATAATAATAATAATAATAATACAGAAAACACTGAGTCACTGACCAGGACAAGGAGAAAGGTCAGAAAGTAAGAAACGAGAACTTTGATTTCGATTTTATTGATCACGACACAGAGCTCGTTTGTAGGATGCAGCGTTTTCATTTTTCACAGTTTACAGATTTGTTCAGGTGAGTTTTCCTTCTCTTAGAATTAGGAGAGCTTTAATAAACCCGGGGTGATTCAAGTTTGTCGCTGCGAGGCTTCCTGAGGAAACTTTGGTAGTTCAGAGGAAACTGATTATTCAGCAATGTTTTAATCCTGCCAGACTTCCTGCAGACAGCGCTGCAGCAGTGAGGGAGTCAGAAGCGTTCAGAAGTGGATGTGAAGGATTTCATATTCAGCTTTGTAAGGAAATCTCCAAATGTGAGCTTATTGAAGTGAAAGGAGTGCCTCGTGTTGGGACCTGAGCAGAGTCAGTGAAAGCTCAGCGAACACTCTCAGATGAAAACATTTTAATTGTTTGTCATTATTTGTTTAGCTGTATTAACCTGACTTTTATTAATATGGGGTAATAACAGTGCCCCTGAGTATCACAGAACACTCACTCTTTACTGGATTTCACATATTGTATGTTTTTCTTTTGGCTGTCGCTTTTCTTTATGTTTTTGCCCTTTGACCTTATCTTTGCAGATGTTTTGCTGTTCATAAAGACTCTAAACAGGTTTCTCTCTGGCTCCACCCACTGATGCTGAACTCAGCCAATGAGATGGTCTCTTCCTGCAGAACTACAGCCTGATGTTGAGGAGAAGGCTGTGCAGCAGAGAGGCTGCTTAGTCTTTTCATTCTGCTGAATTTGTTCATCTGCTGTGTGACTTCAGCACCTGAAACATGTTCCTTTACCTGTTTGTACTTTTCTCTCACTGCATAGGTGAGTGTTAGAACACAGAAAAGTCTCATTGTGACAAGATTTGATCAGAGTTATTATTAGCAGAGTTCTTCATCTCATTATGCTCACAAAGGAAGAAAAAGACTGACTGACATGAATCATTCATTTGCAGCTTTGGGCTCCATGAACAGCATAAAGCAGGAACGTGCTGAAGAAGCTGTTGCAGAGCGAGGAAACATCAACCTGACCTGTACATATGATGGTCTTATCAACAATATCCAGTGGTACCGACAATACCAGAGATCCAGACCAGAGTTCCTGCTCTACATCACAGAGGGAGGATCAGTTCATCGAGCTGTGTCGGGATTCTCAGCTCACATTGACAAAACAGAGAAACGTGCAGATCTGGAGATCTCCTCTGCTGCAGTGTCTGACTCTGCTGTGTACTACTGTGCTCTGCAGCCCACAGTGACAGGAAACAGCAAAACTCTGTACAAAAACCTTTGGAGCAAACAGAATACTCCACAACATCCACTAGAGGGAGCCACACACCTTTGTTAGGATACAGAATCATAACACAGCTGTGATAAAGAGCTTCAGGTGAAGTGAATGAGATGTGAGCCTCCTCCTCCTCCTGACTGCAGAAACCTGTCTGATTCCAGCTGTGAACATCAGACCAATCACAGCTAACTCGCAGTAAACTGATGTGGATTTCATCCTGACATATACACCTGTATACACTAGAGACGTAATCGTAGTTACTTGGATAAATTGTGTGTAATGATATATACTCATATATACATACATGCTCCCAATGAACTGCTTATATGGGGAGTCACTGCATGAAGCATTTAACCTGCATGTTCAAATCACATGACCCATACAGGGAGTGCAGAATTATTAGGCAAATGAGTATTTTGTCCACATCGTCCTCTTCATGCATGTTGTCTTACTCCAAGCAGTATAGGCTCGAAAGCCTACTACCAATTAAGCATATTAGGTGATGTGCATCTCTGTAATGAGAAGGGGTGTGGTCTAATGACATCAACACCCTATATCAGGTGTGCATAATTATTAGGCAACGTCCTTTCCTTTAGCAAAATGGGTCAAAAGAAGGACTTGACGGGCTCAGAAAAGTCAAAAATAGTGAGATATCTTGCAGAGGGATGCAGCAGTCTCAAAATTGCAAAGCTTCTGAAGCGTGATCATCGAACAATCGAGCGTTTCATTCAAAATAGTCAACAGGGTCGCAAGAAGCGTGTGGAAAAACCAAGGCGCAAAATAACTGCCCATGAACTGAGAAAAGTCAAGCGTGCAGCTGCCAAGATGCCACTTGCCACCAGTTTGGCCATATTTCAGAGCTGCAACATCACTGGAGTGCCCAAAAGCACAAGGTGTGCAATACTCAGAGACATGGCCAAGGTAAGAAAGGCTGAAAGACGACCACCACTGAACAAGACACACAAGCTGAAACGTCAAGACTGGGCCAAGAAATATCTCAAGACTGGTTTTTCTAAGGTTTTATGGACTGATGAAATGAGAGTGAGTCTTGATGGGCCAGATGGATGGGCCCGTGGCTGGATTGGTAAAGGGCAGAGAGCTCCAGTCCGACGCCAGCAAGGTGGAGGTGGAGTACTGGTTTGGGCTGGTATCATCAAAGATGAGCTTGTGGGGCCTTTTCGGGTTGAGGATGGAGTCAAGCTCAACTCCCAGTCCTACTGCCAGTTTCTGGAAGACACCTTCTTCAAGCAGTGGTACAGGAAGAAGTCTGCATCCTTCAAGAAAAACATGATTTTCATGCAGGACAATGCTCCATCACACGCGTCCAAGTACTCCACAGCGTGGCTGGCAAGAAAGGGTATAAAAGAAGGAAAACTAATGACATGGCCTCCTTGTTCACCTGATCTGAACCCCATTGAGAACCTGTGGTCCATCATCAAATGTGAGATTTACAAGGAGGGAAAACAGTACACCTCTCTGAACAGTGTCTGGGAGGCTGTGGTTGCTGCTGCACGCAATGTTGATGGTGAACAGATCAAAACACTGACAGAATCCATGGATGGCAGGCTTTTGAGTGTCCTTGCAAAGAAAGGTGGCTATATTGGTCGCTGATTTGTTGTTGTTTTGTTTTTGAATGTCAGAAATGTATATTTGTGAATGTGGAGATGTTATATTGGTGTCACTGGTAAAAATAAATAATTGAAATGGGTATATATTTGTTTTTTGTTAAGTTGCCTAATAATTATGCACAGTAATAGTCACCTGCACACACAGATATCCCCCTAAAATAGCTAAAACTACAAACAAACTAAAAACTACTTCCAAAAACATTCAGCTTTGATATTAATGAGTTTTTTGGGTTCATTGAGAACATGGTTGTTGTTCAATAATAACATTATTCCTCAAAAATACAACTTGCCTAATAATTCTGCACTCCCTGTATATTTAGGGTAAATATATCTACCATTTATAAGTGAAGAATTTGTGCCATTTGTTATATGAACACATGTTGATCAATACTGTTTGAAAATGTAACCATGAGGATCAGTAAGAAACCTTTGATAGTGTTATGGTCCAACAAAACTGTTGAATAGATTAACTGATTAACTAACTTTGGCCATGAAACTGTCAAAGGGACCCAATGATGGATGAGAGACTGGTTTGCAAGACCTTATGGTGTAGGGTCGTGTATATCATAAGTAGAAGATGAAAAGACAAAAACAAAGGATGGAAGTATATCCAAAGATGGGAGAGGGGACCACTGTCCCTGTAAGATGACTTTGATATCCTCTCTTTTGTCTGCTGCTTCTTTCCTGTCGGTCTTTTGTGTGTGCTTGTGCTTTAAAGCTCTACACGCTGGCGTTGCTTCGATTTTCATTTTTCTTGCTTTCTATGTGTCATTTCTGCTTTTAAACATACTGCTCTGCTGTTCATATGACACTGTTTAATAAACTCTGTACTAACAATTCTACTCTTTTCCAGAGAATCATTATGAGTGATTTGTTTTTAATTGGATCCGAAAAGCTTGACCTCCACAGCGTTGGTGGGATGTGCGACCTGACCGAACATCACTTCCAACATTTCTCCTCTGGAAACATGGAAAAGGTGTTTCTGACAGCAACACCTGAAATTCAAAGACATGTTTACAGCGTTACGGATCCAGTTTGGATTTTCTTTGATCAGCACCATACTGTTCTCTGCCGAATGCACAGATGAGGTCATTTGTCACAACTATAGCAACTGTAGTGCCACTATATCAAGTTTTGTTTTTCCTGTGTTATTTTTGAGTTCTCTTGTGTCCAGTGTTGGTCAAGTTACTTGAAAAAGTAATATTCCCCCAAAAGTAATCTCATTACTTTACTGATTACTTATTTTCAAAAGTAATTAATTACTTAGTTACTTAGTTACTTTTTAAAAACACGATTTACAACCTGAAGAGGTGATAAAGCGATAGATCTTTCAGCCCAATTCTACTTTTTCTACATAATCCATCATACAAAATGTAATCAAATGGAAAAGTCTCTTTTTAAAACTTGTTTTATTAGTTTTAATCTTTTAACTTTATGCATCAAGCAAACATTTAATTATCTGCAACATTCTCTGTCTTGAAGAAATTAGTTTAATATTTAAACCTATTTTCTGCACATTCCAGCTCATAAAATAAAAATATTTTGTGTGTTTACACTCAGTCTTCCAAATAGATGCAAGTAAAACACAGCAGAAAATAAATAAAATCAAAGACTCAGCGGTCCTGTTGCTCTATTTTCACCTGTAAAGCAGGAGTGGGGTAGGCGGAGGTTTACCCTGGTGCAGGTGTGCCGCGGTCAGTGGAAGAATCCGTGAGTTTCTCTGTGAGTTTCCCATTACGTCGTAGCTACTCGGTGCTTGTTGGAAGTTTAGGGGTTTTTCGCTGTAAAAAGAAGTTTTCTTCCCACGCACAATGGACACTAATATTTTTGTCACTTTTTAGGAATCAAATTCAAAGTAAGGTCAGTACTTCCACGCTTTAAACGCTGCACGCTCATACTCTCTCCGCACTCGATATATGATCCATTGTTGATCTGCACACAGCTGTTGTCACGAACGGTGCACTCGCTTACGTCACTGTCATGAGACACTTTGCAAAAAAAATCACGGTTTTAGTAACGCAGTAACGCAGCGTTCCTACGGGAAAGTAACGGTAATCTAATTACCTTTTTTGCAATAGTAATCCCTTACTTTACTCGTTACTTGAAAAAAGTAATCGGATTACAGTAATGTGTTACTGCCCATCTCTGCTTGTATCCTATGGTTCCTATTCTGTACAGTACGGTTTATTAGATTCCCCCCGTGTCTCCCTCTGTGTGGAGTTCTTCTGCCTTGTTTCTCCTCCTTGTATTTTATTCCATGTTTCCCCGTCACGTCTGTGCTCTCCCTCGTGTTCTCTTCCCCTCCAGTCTGCATCTCCGTGCACTTCCTGTTTTACTTTGATAGTCTCCCGTCAGTATGCGTCATGTTGTGTTTGCTCCTGCCCTGTCTCGTTATGATTATCAGTGTCAGCTGTGTTCCCCGTCTGCTCCCACGTCCCTCGTTATCCTTCTGTGTATTTATGTCCTCAGTTCCGTGTTGGGTCCTCCCTCATGGTCGTGTGGAATTCTCGGTGTGTTTCCCGAGTGTTTAGCTAACTTTTCCCTCTTATGTTTTGCACTTTTACAGATTATATAATATAACATCTTGGTTTAAATAAATTCCTACAAGTTTGCTAAGTTACCATGTTCTTTATTTCAACTGTTAATTTGTATTGTTTAAACTTACCTTACCTACCTCTCTTCCAGAAACAAAAGGAGGAAACGTAGTTTTACTTCCTGCTTTATAGCTTCTGCGTTCATCTGAGGTCACAGGATGAGACCAAGTGCAGAAGGGGAAGAATTTGTGTAATTTAATCAAGTTGATTTTAGAGGGTTTATGGAGAAATAGATTTATTGCATAATATGCATTGATTACACCAGTAAAGAGTAGCAGTACAGGTTTGAATATGATGTTCATCTACTGAGTGAAATAGTCCAGAGAAGAAATAGTTTGGTTAAGTGGACGATTTAAGCAGAAAACTCGGGCGTTTGAGGAGAAAGGACCAGGTCAGTGTAGCTGTGTGCACTTTGACCTTAATATTCTGTTGAGTTAAGTTTATTTGAACTGAGTTAATTATGAAGTTGAGTTTCTTATTTGTTTATGTAAATATTGTTTGGGTCACAAAATGGTGAATAAATCAGTTGCTACACTGGACAGCATCAGTCTCCTGCACTTCTTTGGCCGCTTGAGTCAAGTCCTCCCACATGGTGCCATATAAATTATACTGAATATAGTGTTTTCTACCAAGCATTCATACTACAACGGAGGCATCAGGGAGCAACCTGGGGTTAGTATCATACTCAGGAATATTTGGCATTCAAACTGGAGCAGCCAGGAACTGAGCCACC